TCCTCCTCCTCCTCCTCCTCCTCCTCCTCCTCCTCCTACCCCCAAGATAGTCCTGGGAGGTGGAGCATGGCTCAACATGGCCTCCAAGAGGCCCCAAAAAGCCTCCGATCGTGTCTGGATGGGCTTGTGGGGATACTTTTTAGTCAGCGGCCGCAGGCGAGCGCGCCAGCGGCGAGTCCAGTCAAAGCGGGGCACGCAACGACGAATTAACCTAAAGCGGCGGGGCGGAGCCTCACGCAGCACCTCAGCGGCGGGCCGGCGAGTAGAAGGGGCTGGCTGTAGCTGAATACCAGTACTGCCAGGGTGCACGTATGCAACGCGTCGGAAGCTGCAGGTAGTCGGGAAGACCGGCGACCAGGGACAGTAGCAGACGTGTAATTAGATGCAAGGGCGCAAGCCCCACTTGTGGGAATACTTTTTTGGTCGCGGCCGCGAGCGAAGAGCGCAGGCGGCGAGCAGGGTGTCCGGGCCGACTTGTGGGAATACGCGGAGCGTCAAGAATTACTTGCCGAGTATTGTTGGGTGGCATCGACCCTCATTTAGCCCCCAGAAGAAATATTTGCCCCTAATTGGGGCGACTTTCAACATCGTTCGCGGTCCGCAGGGCGCACAAGTACACGCAGGGCGCTCAAGTACGCACCCGCGTGTCGCACGACGATAACCAACGAACACGGTGTCCCGGAGGGGTGTGGCCTCAGACGGCTTCTGCAACTCCGAACTCCAGCAGAACCCCCAAACTGACAAATTGACCTGCGACTGCCAAGAGCAGATTCGACCAAAGTCTGCAATGCTGCTATGTACAGTTCTGCGAATCACCACCACAGTTAAAGTGGGTCATAAGTTGGCGCAGTAAGAACGCAAGAGGAGGAGGAGGAGGAGGAGGAGGAGGAGGAGGAGGAGGAGGGAGGAGGAGAAGGAGGAGAAGGAGAGGAGACCTTGGACGCCCAAGTTGAACTTTTTGAGCGACGCCCTGACAGAACGAGACGAGGCCAAGGAACGGCCGAAGCGACAGAGACGCAGGGACACCCTCGGAACGCTGCTTGTCCTTACAGTGTGGGGGCCCGACCACAAGAAACCTTCTACAAGAAACCCAGCCCTGAGGGCGTCCCTTAATTCTTGGTGTGGGAACATCACGCTTTCCATGGCAGAGCCATCGAAACCCAAGAAGCCCGGGGCACCCTCGAGGCAAGCGGGGTGTTTCTTGGCATGGGCCTCCACTGTAAGGAACGGCCGAAGAGACAAAGACGCAGGGGCACCCTTGGAACGATGCTCGTCCTTCCGATGCGGCTGCAGTGCACAATCACCACGACAGCTACGTAATTACAACACCAGCCTGCTGCTCTGAGCCATCGTTGCCAAATCCCCCTCGCGAACTTACGGCCATGAGGATGCCAACCAGATAGACTCCCGCGAATCGGTCAATGCCCCCCAAATCGCACCGGGCTCAGAAATCTCGACCGCGCAGAAATCTCGAGGAGCATGAGGAGGAGGAGGAGGAGGAGGATGGGGAGGAGGAGAAGGAGGAGGATGGGGAGGAGGAGAAGGAGGAGGAGGAGGAGGAGGGAGGAATGAGGAGGAGGAGGAGGAGAGGGAGGAGGGGAGGAGGAGGAGGAGGAGGAGGAGGAGGAGGAGGAGGAGGAGGAGGAGGAGGAGGAGGAGGAGGAGGAGGAGGAGGGAGGAGGAGGAGGAGGAGGAGGAAGAGGAGGAGAAGGAGGAGGAGGAGGAGGAGGGAGGAGGAGACCGCGCTTCCTTGTCGAAGAACTCCCACGTGTCCGCGACCTTCTCGTTGAACGTCCGCTCCAGGAACTGGGATGGCGTGCTTTTCGCGGCTCCGCCCCTCCCGTCGCTCCTCGTGCACGGGCCGGCGGACGCGGTGCCACGGCGTCCGGCATCGGAACATGGGCTCCCCGAAAAATCTCAGAGCTCAGCACGGAACACGTGCCCTGAGCCCCGTAGAGCAGAGAGAGACTGCCAACAGGAACGCGCGCGTGCGCAAGAAGAGCGCCCCCAGAAGTCCGAGGCACCTGAAAAGCTGCGCCGCGCCGCCTCCGCGAGGAACGCACAATCGCGGCACAACAGTCATCGCGGCACACAACACGGCGCGAGCAGAAAAGACAAACAGCGCGGGCTCCGGAGAGGAGATAATTAGGGGATGGGGGAGGGGGAGGCGACTAAAAGCGCCCAGGGACACGCAAATAAATACACACGCAAATCCCAGGATTCCCCATATCTTCCTATATCTTCCAGGTGTTCGTCTTCACCCCCCCACCTCCCCTAGTTTCGCATATTTTCCTGGGAGTCGACGATTCATTGTGTCTGTGTGTTCCTTTCCCTCCTGAGCGACGGAAGTCGGGGCATCGTGGTGCGGGGCGCAAGGGGGCGCAAGGGTTAGGTCGGGCGTGTCCCCCTACAGGCGGATTTTGTGCGAAAAACTCGAAGTACTCAAAACATGCCCAAACATAATCAAACAACAAATGATCCTCTGACTTTTTTTGTGACTATTTTTGAACATCCCTCCTGTAGAGGGACAGGCCCGACTTCACGCAAAGGGGGGATGAGACGAGAGGGTGGGGGGAGCGGCGCGGGGGGAGGAGAGGGGGAGGGATGCGCACGAGGCAAATCCGTGGCTGCTAAAACGGTCGTCCCGGAAGAAAAAAACAACTTCCCGGAATCAACCTCAGCGCACTAGGTCATAGACGGGCTGCTTCCCGGCAGAAGCAAAAACAAACAAAAAGCAATGTCCAGGAGCTCCGTCTTGAGCAGCCGCGGGCTTGCCAGCTTTCGCCCGGCTTCTGGGAGCGGCTCTAAGGAGGAGGAGGAGGGGGAGGAGGAGGAGGAGGAGGAGGAGGAGGAGGAGGAGGAGGAGGAGGAGTAAGGAGGAGGGGGAGAGGAGGGGGGAGGGGGAGGGAGGGGGAGGAGGGGGAGGGAGGGAGGAGGAGGAGGAGGAGGAGGAGGAGGAGGAGAGGATGAGGAGGAGAGGAGGAGGAGGAGGAGGAGGGGAGGAGGAGGAGGAGGGGGCTGCGCACGAGGCAGGCGCGCCCGCGCCACGCCCGGCGTCCGACGCCCTGCCCCAACGCGATCCCCGGCCCGTCGTGCCGAGCCCTCCGAAGCATGGGGTGCGCCGACTCTGCACGGGCTCGCTCCCGTCACTGGTCCTAAGTCGGGCCTGTCCCCCTACACGGGGATTTTGAACGTTTTTTTTTTTTGTTTGTAAAAAAACATACCCCTAAAATGCTCCCCAAACGCTCCATGATGCTCAGCAAGATCGTCCCCGACTACATCTGGACTGCTCTTGAATATTCCTCCTGTAGAGGGACGGGCCCGACTTAACACACCAGTCCGCGCGCCTTGACCCGTGTCTGCGCTCTCTCGGCCCAGGAGGCCCCGAGAGTTGCAGTCGCAAGACTCTCAGCCCGTCGCTGGCCGTGCGAAAACGCGAGAGCTGGGGCGACGTGGGCGTGCCGAGCCAAGCTCGCGCACGCCATGTCCGACGTCCCGCCGCTCCGCCCGCTCTTGCCCCTCTGCGCCGACTGCTTATCTGCCCGCTGACGGGTGTCCCAGCGAATCTGGAACCTCCAGATGACCCCCGTCGTGTGATGCGACAAGGGAAGCTGTGTACCTGCGCCCATTTCCACGACAGCAAGCTCGGCGCAGCCCCTGGATGACGACGGCGGCCCTGACAAGCGCGACCCTGGAACGGAGCGCTCCCCGGGCGACCGGCGAGCGCCGCACGTCTTGCGTGAGCACCACCTATCGCACCAGCCGTCGCACATTTTGTTGTCAGCAGACTTTTGGAGGAAGGGTACTAGAGGGCAAAAAATCTACCCCCATAATCACCACCTCGACGCGCGAAGCCGTTTACTAAGAGCCCCCACTGAAGGAATCGAGCAGGGCAGGGCTGTTTAGTAAGCGCCCTACAGGCCGTTTAGTAAACGCCAGTTGTCTGGTCCAGGTGTTTTTTTCCTCCCTTGAGGTACGGAGAGGGCAGCACCAAGACATAGCACCCCAGTGAGGCAATCCCGAGAACGCTGCCAGCGAGAAATCGAGATCAGGAACTCGGTAAACAATGCTGCCGCCAGATCGCTCTCGCCCGCTTCTCCCAAGTGGGACGAAAACGCGGACGAGGAGGGAGGCGGAGGGAGGAGGGGAAGGAGGGGGAGGAGGAGGAGGAGGAGGAGGAGGAGGAGGAGGAGGAGGAGGAGGAATGGCAAATAATGGCAAGGCAAGCGATACAACAAGCAGCGCCAGTCGTCAGGAGGTTGTCTCGTCTGGGCGCCACGGAGCAAGAGCTGGCGGAACAAAAACCGGAGAGCCTGAGAGAGAGAGAGGGGGCTGTGCACGCAACTGCAGGAGGGCAGAGGTCCGAAAACAGCCCCAAACCGCATGTCATGCTTTGGTTGCCGCGACGCGAGATTGGGAATTTTCGGGCCATGCTTAACTTGGGCCCATGGCGGCCGTTCGGGGCGATCTGGGCACCCCCTTGAATCCTCTCGGCGAGGCGCAGCTGCGGAAAGCATGTCGGTTCTCGGCGGTCCTCTGGCCTCCTCCTCCTCCTCCTCCCCTCCTCCTCCTCTCCTCCTCCTCCTCCCCCTCCTCCCCCCCCTCCTCCTCCCCCTCCTCCTCCTCCTCCTCCTCCTCCTCCTCCTCCTCCGCCTCCTCCTCCTCCTCCTCCTCCTCCTCCGAAACGCTTTCGTCTAAAGCGTCTCGGCGGAGGAGGAGGAGGCAAAGAAACCAGGAGCGCCAGACCTGGGTTGACTGTCCGACTTGGATCCGTGTCGGAAATGTACCTCGAACGATGCCAACCACAGTAGCCAAAACGTCCCGCCTCTGAGAACGGCAGGGCGGATATCTCCGCAAGAAGAGCATGCCAGAGACAGCCATGGCCACGATTGGGGGGAGATCGGCATCAGAGGGGCTCGCAGAGCAGGGCGGCAGCTTCCGCCCTGCTCTTCCGAAACCGCAACCTGGGGTCGGCTTTTGGGAGATTGTGAGAGATTTGA